AAGAATTGATCAGCCAATTCAAGCATTCCTTCAAATGACTCCGCCTTCCTCTCTTTCAAATACAGCGACAGGCTTGGGTGGCAAATAATAAGAAATTGTTCTTTAATTAGCAGCTCTCTAAGTTCATCGTACTCCTGTGCTGTCCCTGAAAGTTCAATCCATCTGTCGAAATAATGGCAAAGTCGGGCGGCATACTGCGTAGCCGTCTCACCATCAGCTGGCTTTCCTGTCCGAAATCTGTCCCGGAATCCTTCCACAGTGAATCTAAATCGCTTCAACAAAGCAGACTTCACCTTTGCGTAGTTGGCTGCATCGGTCGGCGTCAGCCTACCGTACACACTGAGCGCTTCACCACTCAAGCAAGTACTCAAAGCAGTTGCCCATTGATGTTCCGGCCAATTCTGGCTCCTCGCAATCGTCTCAAATCTGTGGAGGTACGCGTCTAGGTCGTCCTTCCTTTCATCAAACGCTACGAGCAGCTTGCTTGGGTTCAAGCGGAAGCCGTGATCTTCCCGTTCGCTGCTTTCAACTCTAGCTTGGACGGGAGTTTCGTTTCGCTGTTGCAAACGGAGCCGCTCGAGTTCAATTTCGTGCTGCCGCTGCCGTTCCCTTTCAGCCATCTCCGCTTCTCTTTCTTCTCTCGCCCTTTCGGCTGCCAACTTCTCTCTCTCCAGCTCCAACTTCAATTGCTGCTCTCTTTCTTCCTTCAGCTGTCGCTCTTTTGCCTCTCTTTCTTCTTTCAGCTGTCGCTCCTTTGCTTCTCTTTCTTCTCTCGCCCTTTCAGCGGCCAGCCTTTCTCTCTCCAACTCAGCTGCCTTTTCTTCCTTGGCCCTCTCTGCCGCCAACCTCTCTCTCTCCAACTCAGCTTCTTTTTCCGCTTTGGCTCTTTCGACCGCCAACCTCTCTCGTTCCAACTCAGCTGTTTTTTCTTCCTTGGCTTTCTCAGCTGCCAACCTTTCTCTCTCCACCGCCTCTTTCTCCTTCTGGCTTACCCATTTCCGTAGTTCGGCGCCGGAAAGACCCATCTTCTCACCAAGCGCAACTAACTTTTCGAGATCCATTGTGTCTCGCAACTCGCAAATGAAACCTTGCCGCGTGCAAAAAGTATCTGCCTAAATCAGTCTATCGGAACACTCCCCTGCACTCGTTAACGAGAACACTGAACAACACACAAAATCGTTCCGATAGCACTATCAACAACTCGAGGCTCTTTCTCACTACTTTGGACACACTGTGCACCAAAAGGTCCTGTATCGCGGACGCCAGATTAATTGTCACACCCGTCCCGTTATTAGGGAGGCGATCGCCGGGCTAATTCCAAGAGCCGAAGTATCGGCCCCCCGAACCGCACCACGAAAGCGTGGACAATTTAGAAGTGGTCCTTATTGGTGCGCCAGCGGACGCCGGCTGTGGCCCAAAGAACAAGACAGAGCCGAGAGTTGATAAACAAACAAAATTATATTCTCATTAACGGCAGATCAAAACAATACACACGTATGCACACTCCACAATAGTTACATACAATACGTCACCAAACAGACAATGTACTACACAGTACAATCAACCACACTTGAAACAACGGACACAGACAACAATACGCACTACGATGCAGTCACATGCATTGAACAACCAAGACACTTAAGGACTAAAGAGATAGAAAACCTATTCAGTCCAAAGTCCTTGGAACAAAAGTCTGAATGATACTCTTCCGAGAATCACTCACTCAAAGTCCAGCGTTGTTGTCGTTCCGCAGCTCTCTGGAGTTTCTCTTCCAGGAAACCTCCCGTCTTCAATTGGCCACTCTTCAAACTTCAACTTCTTCGCCGGAACCCGTCGGCTTCACACACGCAGCTGTTGCCCGCGTCTTCGCTCGATAGCGGTAAACCCACGCTCTTGCCTGTAGCTCGAGCCGTCCCTACGGACCACAAACTTCGCCGACTACACGGCGGACTCTCTACGCACTCTGGCGCTCACTTCCGTCTCCTCCTGTTCTGTCACTACGGGCAGAACCTTCGCCGACTACACGGCGGAATTCCTACGCGCTCTGGCGTTAACTTCCGTCACCTCCTGATTTTTCGTCTCGGCTGCTCGGTTAAATACCTTGCGCGCGACTTTCCAGAAATTTCTGGTCATTTCGCCGGCGCGATACGCGGCGAAAGCTGGGAAGAGGGCGAGACAGTTGGAATGCCCTCTCCGGCCGGTGAGTCAACTCGGTATGGCCCCGCCCACTTCTTTCTGGAAAAATCGCGGGCTTGCTGGGCCGCCGATGTGGGGTGAGGAGGTTCGTCTGCGAAGCCGTGCTTCTGCGGGGAGAGCGCGCGCCCGGGAGCCCTCGATGTTTGCTTTCTTTTTTTTTCTCTTTTTACCTCGCGGCGTGTCTGCCGCCCGTTGTCGCAAGGATTTGGCGGCGCGCTCTTTTTTAGCGCTCGTTCTGTGACAACGTTCAAGGCCTCAGTTCGAAATGAGCAATATATGAACATTCAAGTTCGTCTCGTCAAAGAGACAGCTCACGTCTAAGTTTTATAAAGCGAAAAATAACATACGACGGAGTGGTAATTATAGGACCGTTAAAATTAATGCACCGTTGAAAACCAGCAGTGCAATATAAACTTAGGCACGAAGGCTATGTTGTGTTATGATAATTCAGTGTAAAGAAATAACCATATATTCCAGGTCGCGGGCCTGTTTTATTCGATCTTTTATCTCTGTCACGCACTCACTTAATTAGAGGTGCTCATAAATAAAAAATAAATAAATATATACATTAAGAAATGCTGAACGATACAGCACATGCAGTGTATTCACTGCTGCATTTGGTCAAACAGGGCCAAAAATAGTAATAGCAATCGTTGGAATTTAACGTCCCAAAACCAAGATATGATTACGAGGGACACCGCAGTGGAAGGACTAAAAAATGGAGCGCCCGCCAGTAAAATTGAACTGAAGTGAAGAGCATTTTCTTTGATGGAGTGCCGTTTAATTATTGTCAGAACCGACAAAAAAAAATACCATCTATATGACGAGTGCATTACGGGTACTGCTCCAAACCAAAACTGCGCAAGATAAGAGTAATTCCAAGCTGGGCCCCGCGATATAACGAAATGTCTGCGTCGGAAATTTGTGGAAATTCTAAATAGCGAAATAACGAAGTCATACCCTTTGTCGCACACGTTTTCCGTCGTATTTCTGTAATTTGATGCCTGTCTTAAAGTGCTTTTATTCGCCGTCGTGAAACGCTAAGCAAACGTAAAAATAAAAACATATAGGAAAACGTAATGAAGCATCTATGTGCGTTTTCACGATATTACCGGATGGATTAAAACAAAAAAAAAACGCTCTTGTTTTTGTGTTAACGTCGCAGTAGGCTTTACTGTGTGTTAATGCACAAACAGAGGCTGCCCATACACCTGAAAAATATCAAGAGTAAACGTTGCTGAACCACCTAACGCATCAATTATCGCAGCAAGCACGCAATACAGGCTATAGACACTCAGCCAAACAGGACAACGCTGCGTAACATGTAGCGTTTTCGCTAGAAAGAACAATGAGTCAAGTCAGTATGAACTAGCTCAGCTAAACGTATTGACAAGTAATTTGTTCAGCCAGGTCTAAACTTGACTATGCCCTTTAATGTCTGTTTCGTAGACGGTGTAATGGGTTGACGTGTTGAGCTAGTGTGCGGCATAACTATATAAACAGGCGTAACCGTGCGAAATGACAGCAGTCGAGACTGGTTAGCATAAAGCCACCAAGGTGAAACACTATAATTTACAAAGCTGAATTTAGCAGGTGCCCCGCCGCGGTGGTCTAGTGGCTAAGGTACTCGGCTGCTGACCCGCAGGTCGCGGGATCGAATCCCGGCTGCGGCGGCTACATTTACGATGGAGGCAGAAATGTTGTAGACCCGTGCGAAATGACAGCAGTAGAGACTGGTTAGCATGAGCCACCAAGGTGAAACACTATAATTTACAAAGCTGAATTTAGCAGGTGCCCCGCCGTGGTGGTCTAGTGGCTAAGGTACTCGGCTGCTGACCCGCAGGTCGCGGGATCAAATCCCGGCTGCGGCGGCTGCATTTACGATGGAGGCGGAAATGTTGTAGGCCCGTGTACTCAGATTTGGGTGCACGTTAAAGAACCCCAGATGGTCGAAATTTCCGGAGCCCTCCATTACGGCGTCTCTCATAATCATATGGTGGTTTTGGGACGTTAAACCCCACATATCAACCAATCAATTTAGCAGGTTGAACATGAGAGGCCGGCGCAAGAAGTGTACGAAATGGTATGAACGTATTTTATCTTGCTGGGGACAAGCACGCGATACAAATTTTTAGAAAACACTTGCCCTTTCGTATTCGCATCACGATCTCTCAGTAGACGGCAAGTCTCGGGCCTTCTTAGTGCAATCGTTGGCCACGTTTGGACGTCTCTTAGTTACACACATTCCACAGCACAAAAAATTTTCTTATACATGACCATATTCTCAAATGACATAGTTCAAGTTCTCGTTTTAATCCCGAAGAGAAGACGTTCTGAAATGGTTTCACAATATTAAAATCGCGTGAACTCCCCGGCGCAGCGTTAACACATTCATGCCATTCTAAACGGGCCTAAATCATAACAAGCCCAGCTTTGTTTATCGGTCACATTTTCGACGGAGGCGATAATACTTGAGTCACGTGTACCTATAGGTTTAGGTGCATGTTAAACAACCCCGGGCAGTCGAAATTTCCGCAAAGGCCAGTGGAGCCCTCGATTGAGGACCCCGCCCACTTGCCCAGAAACCTTTTAGGGAATAAAAAGGAAGTTTTTCGTCGCTCCACTGCAGTGTCTCTCATAACCATGTCGTGGTTCAGGGACATTAAACCCAAACTACTATCATTACAGTTTTTTTTGTACTCATAATTTTAATCATCAGAAGAGCAGAAAATGACATGTTAATCGCTCACTGTTCAAGTGATAGCGCGTTTGCTCAACCAAAATGCCACTGTACGACGGCTTACCGTGTCCCAATTTCTCGTTGGCAACAAGGCGGTACTTTCTGTTCCTTTCCTTCAAGTAGGATTCCGTTGCCTAGCCGAGGCGAGAAGAGGAGAGACGCTTGGAAGCGCGCAGCAGCGGACCGGCTAACGAAGCACGTGCCGGTATCGTCTAGTGCGAGTCTGTCAACAGGATTCTCGGATGGGACAGCCCAGCGACTGTAAGCGGGGCTCATCGATCTGTTTAACTCCGGTCCGACTGCGGGCGCCATCTGTTGCTGCTCGCAAGCACAATGGCCGAAGGACAATGAGCACCGGCTTGCGGCGCCCGTCGTTAATGACACATAAATGTAGCATTCAACCATAATTGCTGCAATATAACACCCCAAAACCATGATATGCTTATGAGAGTAGATGTACTGCAGGGCTCCGGATATATCAACCCCTTGCAGTGGCTGGGGACACATCATGCAATAGAGGTGATACAGTTTTTTTATACATGTTCCATTTCCAATCACATAAAAATTGAAATCGCATTTCGAAATAAAGTAACAAAAACGAGCATTACTTTTGATGTACTTGATCATAGCCGACCAATCGCATTTATACTTTATTCTCAGCGGCTTGTGCTCAATCATCGACATAAATAAATGTAGATGATCCGGAATTCTTTTAGTTTGCATCTCAAAGCCAAGTGTAATAGAACATTTCCGGAGCATCCACCGGTGGGATTTCAGAAAACTCGTGCTCTGTAAAGACTTCTCAAAAGAAAAGTAGCCTTCACTTCTGTACTCCGTGTCTCCTCATTGAGCGCGACTACAGAACTCAGAGTAACAGCACGTGTGCTATACTTGACTTTCGAGCAAATTAAATGTGATGCTTGAAAGATAAGTCTCAAGGGGGGACACTTTCAAGAGGTGTCCCACCCAGCCTGGAAAAAAAAAGTGGGGCGTGGGTCGGGACTTCTTTGAACCCTTCAGGATTTAGGCCAGTGACCTTGGGTTCTTTATAGAAACACCAAAAAGAAAAATGGTGCAGTTTAGATACGCAAGATCGGAATACTCTATAGTCGTTAATTTCGTTGTCATTAACAGAACAAAAAATTAATCAAAAAGCTTCATATTTAAATTTCGCGCCGAAATTTACACATGTGGCGTCGCGGAATTCAAAGTGCTTTATTCATATTTCGGCCACCATGTCTCAGCGAAACTTCCTGAAACATGGTATGCACAGTCTCTGGCGGGCAATGTATTTCATATGTACCGATTAATAACTCCGTTCGCCCTCGCAGACACCGCCAAAATCTATCACGTCTTGGCGATGGGAGCGGAAAGTTCAAGGTGACGCCACCATTCTTTTTTTTTTTTTTGCGCGTTTTTTCACTCGCCAAGGGTACCTCGCTTTCCAAGCGTTTTCTCGCTTACAAAGTAGATCCTCTTGATAAGCGTAGTGACATTCGCACTCTGACAGAATAATCTTTTGACACAGTGGAAAATCGTTTTGCTTTTTAGCATGCTTAAAGCACCTAAACACCTGTTGACTTTGTGCCACCATGTGTGAGTGAAACAACTTTTTTTTTACGATCCACCATGAAGGGGAAGGGGTAAGGGAACGAAAGCGAGACACTACCCTGCTCGGACGTCCTGGAGCAGCGACCTACGCGCGTCGAACCCGTAGAGACGCCGCTTTCGGCCACTGGCGTTCCAGGATGCTCAGCACGTGCTGGACCACGTCTGTTTGGTTGCCTGGCTTTCGGCTATAATGATCTTGCTGCTTACGGCAGTTGGCATGGTTTCTTCTCGCAGGCGGACCATCCGCGGATTAGCTGTCCGCGTCCACGACAAATCCGGATTCGGTCCGTCGTCTGAATGCACCATAGCCGGCGGTGGCGCGGAGTCTCAGAGAAGGTGTTTCTGTGTGTCTCGCGCCTTCTCATAGTGTTGGCATAAATCCGTGGTGTATACCTCCGGGCAGACGTGTTTTGTCCAGACGGGGGTCAATATGACTTCTACTTGCAACGGTCGTAGTGTGGCTGCTTCGCTGCGTTGTAGGTCTCGGTGAGGTGGTGGGTATCGGCGTCCGCTTGCTCTGTATCATTGCACAACGTCGTCTTGAGCATCGGTCGTTGTCGCTCCGAGGAATGTGTTAACGGAGACCCACGGCTACTTAGCGCGGAAAATGCGGTTGCCGGGGCCGCGTTTCGATCCCGCGACCTGCTGGTCAGCAGTTGAGCATAAGAGCTGCTAGGCCATCAGGGTGGGTAAAAATGCAGTGTTCAACAAGCTTTCACCTAAAACACTTTCCTTCATAAAAACAAACAAACAAACGAAGGAACAAACAGTTTCTTGAACGGACGCTTAGAAGATGGCAGACGAAAGCCTCTACTCTCACGTTTGATTCGCTGTTAATTTGCGTGTGAGCCATCTTTAATTTCCTTTAAAAACACTTGATTGACTGTCAATTCATATTTCATTATTTCACAATTAATTAAGCTGATGAGCTCAATCGTCAGTTTTAATTGCTGCCTACAACGCCACGCAGCCACGTGTTTGGTGCTATAGCTGTGGCCGTTGTGTAACTCTCTTAATTTTCAATAACATATTTCTTAGATTTATTCATTATTTATTTGTTTATTTATTTATAGTACCTTCGACACTCATTCAAGTGCAATGAGTAAGGGAAGTAGCAGAGACAAAAAGTAAGCATTCAATAGAACGCAACGAAACCAGGGTTACGAAAACACCATAGCCATACGTCATCCGAACGCAGTACATCTTACGACGTCATTCAACTTCGGCGAACCCCCTTTTTAGCGATTATACTTGTGCCTCGGATGCACACGACACCGTTCATGCAGCTGTAATTAGGCATCTTGGCGCGAAAACTAAAACATTCATTTAAGTAAGAGAGATAGAGGTTCAGGAACAGAAAACACGCAACTTCTGTGGCCCTAACTGGGAGCACGGCTCAGTGCCATTCAAGTAAGGAAAGTACCGCTTTTATCCACGAGTCTTGCGAACCCTTGCCAGTCACCAACTAAACGCCGACCGAGACAGAGACAACGTCCGGCCGACGCTACTTGCAAATTACGGTGGTGCACTTGGAGTACTTTTGTGCAACGCTGAATAGGGTTCGTCGCTATAGCTTGTGCAAGATGGCGAAATGAGTCCTGTTCGGTTCTTGACTACATCAAGGACAGATGAAAAGAAAGCCCTGCTGTAGGCTAGAGCATTCAAGCGTAGCGAATGCCCTTTTGCCTAGCGAAGATAGTCCAAATACTTCTTAGTTACCGCCACCCTCTTAAGTAACCCGTGCCCTTGACGTGAGCCTGCGTAAATTGGTCCCTTTGTATTCAAATCCACCCGCGCGGGATTCCCTAGTCTTCACGGGCGCCTAAGGCGTCAAGGCTGTCGTCGGGGGCGCCAAGTCCTAGTCGGTAACTTTCGCCTCTCGTGTGCTGCTCTGTTGTGCTCCCGGTGCCAGAAACATGACCGCCGCGTCTGCTGTCAGCTGGAACCTTTTCGCGCCCTCGCGTTTCGACGCCGCGCTCCTCTCGTCGCTGCCATGGGTCAGCGTGCTCCTGTCTTGTGCCCTGCTGGCCATGCACTGTCGTCGCTGGTTCTACACGTGGAGCACACTGCGACCCATCCCTGGACCAGGAACCGACTGGCTGCCACCACTGTTCTTACTCTCCGTGTATTGGCAATACAGAAGGCACTTGTCTAAAAGTGCCACCTCGGGTGAGACCATAGTATATGCCATGACCTGCTTACAGAAATGCCTTTCGAGGACCACTTAATTCAACTTGGAATGTATTGAACTTAATATGTTAACATTCTTGTTGAAGATTTGTTGTTAACGGTTTTTAACTGTGTCACTCGTGATTCGATTTTTGATTGTCGGTGCTATTTTTCGTTGTTTTATGAAAAATGTTCGCGGTACAAGAAGAGGGGTCAAAATTTGCCGACAGGCAGAACATCAGAGAAACAGAGGTGCGATGATGATTTATTATTATTATTATTATTATTATTATTATTATTATTATTATTATTATTATTATTATTATTATTATTATTATTATTATTATTATTATTATTATTATTATTATTATTATTATTATTCCTTTAGGCAACTGAAATACAACTGACGTAAGCTCCGGTGCTCTACTGCAGAGTTCACTGGAATATTGGGAAAAATAAGTTGAGCAAGCTTCCACCGAAGTAGCTTTTTAAACAAGTGCGTATATCAATCAGTAGATTACTGTAGATGTATTTGTCACTGTATTGAAAAAATTTTGCTCCATCTCTCGTTCGTGAAATCGCAGCTGCAAGGAAAGTTTGCATGGCAACGTCCGTATGTTACGTCTTACGGCCATGCTTTTTTATTAGCATAATAATAGAGGGACCATTTGCTCAAAATATACAATAAATCAAACGATTTCATCCCACGTCTGAGGCTACGCTACAGATGAGAATTAATTCGCTTACTCGAAGCCACGCTAGAATGAAATCACAGAAAATGACGATTAAAGTTAAAAAGCGAGAAAGTGGATTAATCTACAGTTCTTAAATTATTTAGGCTGATGTGCAAGTCACACAGCTTGCGAGAAGTATTACATAGACATAAGGTTTTTGAAAACTTATGTAATTGTCATGAAACTAATGGTTTTCCAAGCACATGAAAGCGTTGCAAAAACTCAGATTTGTTTGAACTAGTTGTGTTAGGTTAAATTTGGCTGTAGTCATAAGATGCCGATACCAATGACAAGTTGATGCACAGACTTCATGCAAAAGACCGTGCCATAGCACCAACACATAAGCAAGGCTTCATATAACAGCTACAGTTTCCTTGGGAAGTTCAATCTAAACATTAGCTGACGCAGACCACTTGAAACCTTTTATTTTGAAGACTACTATTCTTCCCGGTAGCCTTGTCTTGACAACACAATCGGTTGCGTGAAAGCCCGTCATGCAGGGTGCAATTCAGGGTACAATAAGCATCCGCTCTTCCTGGTCAGTCTGTTACTTGGACGTTTTCCTAGCCGTGTCTTTGAACAGTGCAATTTTTGTTTTCCCCATTCATCTCCTCGCTGTACTTCCGCGGCAACAAAGAGCTATTCGCTGTCTCTGCGATACTCGTCTACATCGGGTGGTGTAGAAAGATAACTGCAGCTTAGTGGGCTCACTGCAGGGTTCTACAAAAGTCTCAGATTCAGTTACTGTTGAAAAGGAGATAGTGAATAGTCGGATAGCAGGCAGATCCAGTTTACCATATCAGTGACGTCAGGCTTTCAGCAGCATTTTGATATAGTATTCGGTCTGGTCCAGGATGAAATATTACAAGCAGGTTATGTTGATGGAATCGAGTTGCAGTTCACAAAAAATGTTAGTAAGAGTTCGAAAAATAAAAGAATATAAGGAGATGCGAATAATTCAACAATGAATAGACCTAACCAAGAGACATATTGGGCCCTGCAATGCACTACTGTAAGCTTAGTAAAAGGTGCTTAGTAAAAAAAAAAAGTTGTGCCAGCTTCACACTAGTTGTGCCTATAGACACAACTAGTGTGAAGCTAGTTCTCTTCAACTTTCCCTTCAACTATAGTTTGAATGAAAAGCGGAGCTCGGTGGCTTTTCTTTTTTCTTCCATTATTTATTTATTTATTTATTTATTTATTTATTTATTTATTTATTTATTTATTTATTTATTTATTTTTGTCTTTGTGTATTTATCTGGCTTAGCCTTTCCATCTCTTTATATATTTACTTCCTTTAATTCTGTCTACGTTTCTCTTCTTTTCGTCGGTTTCTATCCCTCTATATCCTTCTATTTCTTCTTTCTCTGTCTCTCTCCTTCATGCCTTGTGTACGGACTCAATTCACCAAGCAACTTTCGTTTAACGCACTCACCCGCTGTACTTGGTAGCGGGGCTTTCTCCGATTCCTGTAGCGCATGCCCACTTAAGGATCACGTCGTGTTGGACAGATTACGGCCGGCTTAAATCACCAGCTGTTAACACACCCGCTTATAAGTGAAGGGAAGAAAAGGTATTTTAACTGGCTTCATTTGTGCTTTTCATGAGCTTTTTATCACTTCAATCGTTTGATATTGGAGCAGCGTTTTCATGACAAAGATAATTTTGTTTTGTTTGCTCTGCTACAAACTTTGAGAGGTTCCGTGTTACAGTGGTTTTCAGGGTTGTAAGAAAGTATCCAAAATGTACGAAGGCCGGACTTTCAAGGTGTACATAGGAACGAGTCCCACAGTTGTTCTGCATACGCCTGAAGCAGCAGAGGTAAGTGTACAAGCATTCTTATCATGATTCGCAACTCTTTATTAAGTGTCAGTCTACATACGTCGCAGAACTGTAACAAGTCGCTGTTGCATATAATTTCAACATAAAGAACTACAGGCCTGCTGCCCCAACCGTTATGTCACATTTTAGTTTTCGTGTTTAAATAGTCTATGTTTTTTTATATTCCTAACCTTGCATGCGCATAACTTTTCGGTGGTATGGCACAAGGTGTGAAGCATTCAGTAAACAACTACAAAACTACTGCAAGGGGAGACACTGCCCCGCCGCGGTGGTCTAGTGGCTAAGGTACTCGGCTGCTGACCCGCAGGTCGCGGGTTCGATTCCCGGCTGCGGCGGCTTCATTTCCGGTGGAGGCGGAAATGTTGTAGGCCCGTGTACTCAGATTTGGGTGCACGGTAAAGAACCACAGGTGGTCAAAATTTCCGGAGCCCTCCACTACGGCGTCTCTCATAATCAAATAGTGGTTTTGGGACGTTAAACCCCACAAATCAATCAATCAATCATCGAGGGGAGACAGTTTGGTAGGAGCGTCTTAGAAGTGTGGTTTGGCATTGTTCAAAATTTGTTTGATTAATTTCAAAAACATTGCTTTCTTTTCTTCACTTGATGCATTGCAGGTATTACTTTCTGCAAAAGAGAACACCGGGAAACCAAACTCTTACGCATTCCTGAAGTCATGGTTGGGTCCGAAAAATCTGCTGACAAGGTGATCATCCCAAAAGATTTTTACTTCATATTTTACAGTGAAAGCTGTTATGAGATCACAACACAGATTACTCACCGCGCCGTAGTTGCCTACTAACCATAAGTTAGGATTATTAATGGCGTAGTGGGTACCCATCAACTGTGTTTGTGGCAGTTACTAAAAAAGTGTTTAGAAAAGGCTCTGAAAGGCCACCCTTCCTGATTTTGCTGTGACTGTGCTGCGCGTTGCGCGCAGGCCTGGCGTTTTTTCATGGAGTCGTACTTTTTTCTTTTACAAAAAAAATAATAAAGCGCTGGATGAATGCAGTCAGAGTATGAAAAATAGCACCTCATGAGACAAATGAATTATCGTTGATTATAGCAAAGGGGATCCGTGGAAAGCAAAAGCAAAGCTCTTCAAGAATGCTTTCAACAACGATCATCTGGAAAGCTGTATGGCTGTGTTCAACGAGAGCGGTGACATTCTAGAGAAACGCGTCGAAACCATGGCAGCAGAGTCGCCGGATGAACCAATAGTCTGCTACAAAAACATTCAGAACTGCGTTCTCGACATCATAGGCCGTGAGTAATATACGCCATTGGACAACAAGCTTTGATGAGTTCGTCCTTGATGCACTATAATTTTATGTTTTGTACATGCGAGTGCATAAATAATTTACGCATTTTTTTTCAGGGGCTTTATTTGGAATTCACTTAGGCTTGCAGAATGGAAATAGAAAAGAATACGCCCGCTGGTTCAACTAGTGAGTATTCTTCTGAGCTACAGGGAAGGCGTGATTTAAACGGATCAATTTATTGATGGCCTCCCACTCAACTGACAAGTTTTTTCCATCTCTATGCCAAACTCAAATGACGTTGCGACTAATTGCGTCATAATCTTTGTTTAGCAGTGACGATTTGAGAATTTTTTTTTTCGTTAGGATGAGGTTGCCATGTCTGCAGTCCTATAGTTAAACATCCATAAACTATACGTACAAATCCCGAATGCTACCGACAGGACTGATGCTTTGTATCTTTTCATCGTTGTTCGATAAAACGTCTGTGTGCGTGGCAACATGCTACAGGAGATACCGACATGAGTCCCTCGCTCAACCTAAGTGCTGAATTGCGCAAACAGGGCAGGGACTAAAAGAAGGAACTATAGGACAGTGTGTTCTGCGTGACTTCGTCTCTTCGTTTATTGTTCGTTCGCTTTGCGCAGTTCAACGCTCTTGATAATGAACCAGCATTCTCAATTGCCAGCCATTTGCTCACATCTCGCTAACACCATCGCACTCACTCCCCTTTTTTGGAAATAATACGTGGGGCAATGCGTTGCCCGTTGCATTGACAGGCGTTTTAAGTGCGCTGCTGCAGCTCGTTACGTGCGGGTTAAGAAAGTGACTTACACAAAGGACGCCCTCTTTTTGCAACATTCGCATGAAGTCTGACGTACCTGTTGACGGTGCGATACTTCCGGCCCTGGCTTTGGATACAGGTCCTCTACGACGCAACGGCTGAAGGAAAGTTTTGGAAGCGTACCGTCGACAATATCGGCAATTTGCATCGTTCTGTAAGTGAACGCTAGGGAGTATTTCTACATTCGAACTTTTTGAAGTCGCGCTCTATCTGCTGTCGACACTTAATGAACAGCCATGTATCACCACCTCACCACACGCTTTCGAACGAACAGCAAAAAAATCACGTGAGGTCCAGGATAGCGGAAGCCATATGCAAAAGCTAGCGAAAACATAGCAGTGCGTGCATGGTATGACAATCAAAGCACAGTGAATATTGAGCTAATTTGCGAAATTCAATTAGTGAGTGGTTATCAGCGGATGTTAGACGTCATATCAAGTTCGCGGTAAAGCAGCTAGACAGGGGTGCTTTCACCTTTGAGTCATCTTATGCGAGCGCCTAAGGGAGCCGGCGAGATCTGGCTTCACGTGACAGTGACTTGGGACTTTGGTCTTGTGTGCTCGCGGAAGTGGTTAAACTGCCTAAAGGCACTAGTGGCCGACGTATGGACCTATGAAACAGCAGTGATTTTGAATGTCCCGGAACACATTGATCTTATGTCAATACCAGTACTTTCAAAGTCATTAAGGTCAATTTTGTTGTATGCATAGATCAGTAAAAGATGGGTAGCGCACTCAGACTCGCTCAATGTCTTTTCCTTAGGACACATTCGGAGTCAGACTCACAAAAATTTTCATCAACCGGACTCATTGGGACTCACTCTAACTACATTTTGTTCAACATAACTCACTGAAACTCAAACTCGCAAATATATCAGTCCGTTGGACTCACTTAGACTCGGCGCTTGATCTGAGTACAAGTTAGTAGTAGTAGTATTTTTATTTACAGTAAGCCGGATACAGAGCTCACTGCAGGGGCAAAGGGCTAAAGGCGAACAGCCTGACAAAGGCCCTTGTCCCTCCGCAGTCCGTGACAGTGCAAAGCTTAGACATCAGCACTGCCAAACAATATATATATTCAATACATTGGTTTCAAGCAACCTGAAATTGTAAACACAAAATTCAAACATAAATAGCATAAGAAGTTTACATAACACATTTTAAGAATTAGAGGTCACTCTCGTTAAAATTCACAACTAAGCAATATCAATGAAACAACTCAAAAACATACACAAAATGCATGCGGATACAATGAATTCCGCTGTATACACTCGTATAATTGACATAGAAGTTTATGAACAATTTAAGCATTTGCAGAGGCATGAGACTCCATTACGTAGTTTCGATAGCGTAGACCGGTGGTTATGAATAAGTTCTTTATTTGTTTCTTGAAAGTCGCACTACTAGCCCTAAAGTTCAATTGATCTGCAAGGGTATTTAAAACCTGAGGTACCTGGTAAGCAATACTTTGTTTTCCATATTGGGTTCTTGTTCTAGGAGCTCGTTTCTTTTGTTCTCGCAGACTGTAGTGTGGTCTTCCGGTGCAACTTTCTAGTCTCAGTTAGTCTCAGTGAGTCGACTCATGAATGCGTTAGCGTAGTAACGTTTTTCGTCATGGTGTTAGTGCTCTTTAACACCAATATCTCGTATACGTTATAATATCGTGGCATTACTTGTAGAACTTCAGTAACGACCTATTTATTCAAAATACGAGTCACGCAAGATATTTCTATCCGTAACTTCCTGCGAAGAAGTTTGCGGGCAAATGGCGGAGGTAAAAACTCTCGCCCCGGATTATCAAAAATTGAGGTGTCATAAACGCCGGTTTGCTGAAATATGGGCAAGTTGATGGGGGTGTATGTGATTACAAACCAGCTGACATTAGTCTGACATGCAGTGATAGGTAAAACCGCAAGTCGTCGAACAAGTGTGAAACTCTGCTCCACCGTGGGGGTCTAGTGGCTAAGGTACTCGGCTGCTGACCCGCAGGTCGCGGGATCGAATCCCGGCTGCATTTCCGATGGAGGCGGAAATGTTGTTGGCTCGTGTGCTCAGATTTGGGTGCACGTTGAAGAACCCCAGGTGGTCGAAATTTCCGGAGCCCTCCACTTGGCGTCTCTCATAATCATACGGCGGCTTTGGGACGTTAAACCCCACATATTAATCAATAAATCAAGTGTGAAACTCTCAAAGACTCACTCAAGTGACATTTTCGTGGGGTCGTGACGTCGACGATGGGAGCAAACTTAACGAGCTTATAGCGCGAAAAAAGAACATGAAAGGAGGACAAGCGCAGACTATCAACTAAATTTATTCGTAAAAGCGCACACATATATGCAGACTGTAGGTCGCAGATCGAACTGTTTATTTGGCTGAAATTGTGGCCGGTCAACTAAAAGTCAGATTACAGCGATACACACTGACACTTATGGTGGCGAACAGAGCGTCGGTCGCCGATAAACTGGCAAGCAGTGAAGCGCGTCGGCATTTATACATGTGCCGCCGAATAATCTTGCGTTATCGCTGGCGCACACGTAGGTTCTCAGAACAATCTCTAATGTGCGCGTTGTGCACGTAGTCTTATCAAAATGATCTACTGCAGTCCTGAAGGTTTCCGAACACTTCGGGCGTGGTTTGCGCTGAGAATTACAGTGTAATAGGTGATAGCAAAACTTGAGCAAGGATTGTGACAATATGTAGGGCGTTCCAGCTAATAAAATCTTGGTTCGAGTTAGCCGGGACACTCTGTATATATTGGCTCACTAAGACTCAGACTCGCCGAAATTTTTCAACCAGACTCACTCGGTCACAGACTCACCAAAATATTTATCAGTTGGACTCCCTCAAAAAGAGCAGTACTCACTTTGGCTCGGGCTCACGGCTCGATGTGAGTGTGTGTGAGACTGTGTGAGTCAACTCATGAGTGATTTTGCCAACATCTGATGCTTGTACATGTAGGTGTCCCGAAGATTCCTCGTTTATTCATATCGCGATGTCCTAAACGAATACATATGACATACTTTACGCCCAGTACACTTTCTGTCCTAGTTAACAACATGGACGGAAAAATCAAATCAGGTACGATTTAACATTGAGGTATGCCCCTTATCTAAGGTGGGCTGTTGAATGACATGGTGGGTGATTTGATCTTGTGCGTGGCTACTCCGGTATCTGACGATATCTGATGTAATATAACTTTTTGCGCAATCAGTACATGCTACACGTTCATAAAAATCACGGTGTCGCTTATAAATTTGTGTAAGACGACTATAAGGGCAAAAGCCATCCTTTTCTTCTCTTCTTCCGTCTTCGCCGATTCTGTTGATTGACTGCAAACAAACACACACACACACACACACACACACACACACACACACACACACACACAAACACACACACACACACACACACACAAACACACGCACACACACACACACATACATACATACATACATACATACATACATACATACATACATATATATATATATATATATATATATATATATATATATATATATATATATATATATATATATATATATATATGAAAGTAGATGCGCTTTTGCATGCCTTGAAAAAGACGGGGTTGCCGTCGAAACGTCGGCACAATAAACAGTTGTTATGTGAAAGCGCATCTACTTTCATATTTATAACCTTGCGGCAACCGAAGTTATTCTTCTGCATATATATATATATATATATATATATATATATATATATATATATATATATATATATATATATATATATATATATATATATATATATATACATACATTCACGTGTTTATGCTCGTTGCTCGTGAGCGCGTTGAAGCCACGTAATGCTATTGTTCTTGAAATTAGAAGAAAAAAAAGAATGAATGGCTTGGTTCAGGAAGGAGTATTGTGTGCTTAAAAAGTGAGTCATGTGTTTACCTAAGTATAAGATAGCGGAAAAGCGCTGCGAAAGGCGCCTCCGAGAAAATTGCGCAACGAGGAAGCAAGACAATAGAAAATGTTTACAGCTGCAGGGGCCTACGTAAATGACACGTTTCTGTATACTAAAGCAACGCGTTGTGGCTATGTATAGATAGACAGTGGTGACATTTACGGCAGGCCTAACGAGCTACTATCTCAAAGCATCTGTGCCGCAAAGGTCTCTCTTTATTCGCGCCGTACGTTTGTCGCACAGTGCTGGCAAGCTTTGCCACCGTTCGAATAAAAGCTGCCTGCCTAATATGCAAGGGCCTTGTAAGACAACAATGCCGTCGGATCACGAGCAATTCTGGAACCAAGTTAATGCGAAGCGTTAAATCATTTCCCACATTGCTTGGAGTCCGCCGGAATGAGGCTGAGTAGCATTGATGTGAGGGTGAGGAGAATCAAAGGGAGGAAGGAAGAGGGTAAAGCACGGCATATCCATGTATGACGTCATACAGCGAAAACTTCGCATAGCATAGCCCTGTATAGCAAGAGAATGGAACGAGATGTCAGGTTGAGGAGGATGGGAAGGAGGAAGGAAGAGGGTAAACCGCAGCTTAATAGTGTGTGGCGTTAAGCAGGCAGACTTATCAGTAACATAACCATGCATAGCAAGAGGCTGGGAAAGGAAAGAGCGGGCGAAGAGGAGAGGTGAGAGGGTGACTTGGAAAGGAGAAAGGGGGAGGTTGAAGTGTAAAGGGCTCACATATGGCGTTAGGAAGGCAGAACCAAGTACAGCATCGCCACGTGCTCCAAGGAGTATGTGAGGAAGAAGGAAAAAGGATACAACATAGCATAGTGATATATGACGTTGGGCAGGCAGAGCTATGTATACCGTAGCCGTGCTTCGCAAGGGTCTGAGAAAGCAAAGTGTGTGTGAGAAGGAGTTTGGCATGAACATCCCCCGCGAAAAATTTCAGGGAAAGTTCTTCATAAATATATCTCGTGCGAGTCACTTACTGTATAGAAACGTATTTACTAGATTGAAACCACTCATAACTCGTGTTTGGAGGTACGAGACATGAAGGCGTATCTTAGAGCCATTGGTCACCAAATAAGTGGGACCTTACTGAGACTCACTCGAGAAATATATTTTACTTTCGGGACGCACTCGGAGTCACTTCAATCCCTCACCCAAATTTTCTTCAATTGGACTCACTCAGATTATAACGCTCACCAGCATATTATTCCACTGGAATCACTCAGACGCAGGTTTTGCCTGAGCTTGAGTGAGCCTGAGTATGTGGACTCATGAGGCTGAGCTTTTTCAACCTTGGTGTTAATGCTCTTTAGCGCCAACATCCCAGGTAAGTGGTGTTCTGCTGTATCTGTGTCACGGCACCGTTGCCTGAACAGCTCCACAGGTGTAGTGTCCGATTGAAACCTGCTCGAGTTGACTGAAAATGAGCTCCTGCAAGGCTGTAATGAACATCGTGTACCACACGTACAGTGAAATAAAATCAGACGTGACGACAAAGGAATGCCGACAGAACACCTCATTGTTACGTTTTGCACTAGCACCCTACCAGACTACCTCGAAACAGGCTACCTGAAGCTAAATGTCAGACCGTACATCCCCAACTCGCGTCGTTGCCAGCGCGTTTTTGTCATGGCTCTCAAAGATGGACAGCGCCCACCTAAATGAATGTCTAAATGGTGTACAGGGTCCGCCATTTAGGCATTCGCCTTTCTGCGGCTGACTTTTGAACAAGACCAGTGGAAAACCTGTACGCGGAATTGGATGAAAGGTCGCTACATAAAGCACGATCGTACCTATCTTTTACGTATTTTTGGAGGTAAACGCAAGCATGGACCATCCCGCATATCCTGCCATCAACGACACGTCTACCTTCCAGCTCTTTGGTAACCAACCCACATTGAAACAGCCCTTCTCGCTGCGCGCGCGTGCACTACAATAGTTAGCTGAGGAAACAGGCTTCAAGTTGCTCGAACTCCGCTTAATGGCTCCCACTATACACACCCTGTGGAAATGGAAGGGCACATAGATTCTGATCATAGATGTAACAAATCATGCCGCACCCCTTCACATTCAGATGTGCACTGTCGTCATTTATGAAAGGCAACACGTGAGCACGTGGCCTGCGTTCTGCGGCGGCTGCCTACAGGACCATCATCAACCGACAGCAGAAGACGTTGGCTTTTGGCGTCATCTATTGGCAAACAAAAGAACGAGTTATGGCCGCTGGACAAGCGAGGCAGCTGTTATTAGAGAGGAAGTCACGCGATCACGTGTTCCCTTTCATCCCTGAACTGACGAACAAATGCACCGGTCCCTAATTTTTCACACACAAAAAAAAGAGCCTCACGCGGGTGTGTCCTATACGCAGTGGTGGGCCGATCTCTTTCGAATGCCGGTGCTCTCCACCGAAGCGCTAGAGTTCTAACAGCTAGAGGCTTACTCAAGGTATGCTGGGTGCCAGAATATCGTAAAATCGAGAATAACGTACTAGCCGACAGTGGGTGCCATAGCCGCGATTTCTCGGCTATATGTTTAGGAGGCACCCGCACACACCTTTCATCCGCTGGTGATCGACCCGGGTGTGGAAAATGCGCAGAACCACTTACCGGGCTTAATGTACTCGTTCAGTGTAAGGAATTGGACGCTGCCGGAAAAAGCACTTTTCATTACTTTACCGACCGCTATTTCCTCTGAACCCTTCCATGTTCATCGGTAGGGATCCGTTTTTTTTTTTTTACACACGAATTATTGTCCGCGTTTTTGAACGATTGGTGCCGTTTTTACATCATATTCACAGGAGATCTGCAGCAAGACCTCGAAGAGAGGTCGCAGCTGGACTGGCTACTATAAAGAACGCTCCTGAATCTCGGTCCTTGGACTCAAGGGCGCCGTGCTAATGCCATACATTTCTGCCATAAAATTACTAACACAAACACTGCAATTCATTTCCGTGGCACACAATTGGCGTTGCCCTCGTGGTCTTAATACCTAAATGTTTCAAGCGCCCGGTAGTGCGCAGAGTTTTAGTCCCGTATGCAGCCACGTAACATAATCATAGTTCACATGCGTTACATATTATTGTGAATCATCGATCATTCTTACATTTCTGTCATTTTTCATGGCGCTGTTTCGTAAAGCACCGGCCTGGTGCAACTAAAAACCACATATTATTAACAGAATATGTAGCTGCTTTTGCAGTTATTTGCACCTTGTCTATAGTATACCTGTACTACTTAGACAAATTTGCCGAATATATTAAAGAAAAAGAAATATTTTTAGAAAGTTAAGGTATAATAATGAAACTATGGTGACTAAAAATATGGGATACACCGGTACTTTGTGACACGAGAAACGGTAAATAAAGGTCAAGAGAATAAACGAATACGCGTACATATTAGAGATGTACTTCAACATTACCCTTATACACATCAGTGAAGAGTAAAGGACACCGATGTTGTATTTAGTATGTAAGTCACAGACAAGAAAGTGTAGGCAGATTTATACTAAGTGGAGACTCCACGTAAATAAATACATTTAGCTCTATCAGCAGAAAAGGGAATGAATGTCTGCGAATGAACATATATTGCAGTTGTATGAGGCTTGGGATACGGATCTTGACTCAGTGAACGCTGTATTTGCGTTTTTTTCCCTCTTCAGGTGATAGAGAAAAGGAAGTTCGCGATAATGAAAAAGCTTGCAGACGAAAGCTACAACGACGAACTTGACGACGAATTGTCTTTCCCGGCAGCCGTGGATACCGCAATAAAGAAGCACATATCGGCGCCATCATCGTACTGCATGGACGAATTGGAAAAAGACACGACCTCGGTCACATTTGCCGTAAGTTTCTTCGAAACTATTGAATCTTTTTTTTATTTTCCCTCCCTTCACCCTTTCTCATCCTCCTTGTCTCATTCCCTTATCTCCCAGTTTAGGGTAGCCAACCCGATGTCTTTCTGGTTAACCTCCCTGCCTTCTCCTTTGTGTTGCTTCCTTCCTTCCTTCCTTCCTTCCTTCCTTCCTTCCTTCCTTCCTTCCTTCCTCTTTCTTCCTTCCTTCCTTCCTTCCTTCCTTCCTTCCTTCCTTCCTTCCTTCCTTCCTTCCTTCCTTCCTCCTTCCTTCCTTCCTTCCTTCCTTCCTCCTTCCTTCCTTCCTTCCTTCCTTCCTTCCTTCCTCCTTCCTTCCTTCCTTCCTTCCTTCCGTTCCTTCCTTCCTTCCTTCCTTCCTTCCTTCTTCCTTTCCGTCCTTCTTCCTATCCTTCCTGCCGTCCTTCCTTCCTTCCTTCCTTCCTGTCTCCTCTCTACTTCCTTCCTTCCTTCCTTCTTCCTTCCTTCCCTTCCTTCCTTCCTTCCTTCCTGCCTTCCTTCCTTCCTTCCTTCCTCTCCTTCCTTCCTTCCTCTTCCTTCCTTTCCTCCTTCCTTCCTTCCTTCCTTCCTTCCTTCCTTCCTTCCTTCCTAGGTCCTTCCTTCCTTCCTTCCTTCCTTCCTTCCTGTCCTTCCTTCCTTCCGTCCTTCCTTCCATTCCTTCCTCCTTCCTTCCTTCCTTCCTTCCTTCCTCCTTCCTTCCTTCCTTCCTTCCTGTCCCTTCTTCCTTCCTTTCCTTCCTTCCTTCTTCCTTCCCTTCCTTCCTTCTGGTCCTTCCTTCTCCTTCCTGTCCTTCCTTGCCTTCCTGTCCTTCCTTCCTTCCTCCTTCTCCTTCCTGGTCCTTCCTTCCTTCCTTCCTTCCTTCCTCTCCTTCCTTCCTTCATTCCTTCCTTCCTCCTTCCTTCCTTCCTTCCTTCCTTCCTTCTTCTTCCTTCCTTCTTCCTTCCTGTCCTTCCTTCCATTCCTCCTTCCTCCTTCCTTCCTTCCTTCCTTCCTTCCTCCTTCCGTCCTTCCTTCCTTCCTTGCCTTCCTTCGATTGAAGCTTTACTTATCTTGACATACGTACAGGCGCATTCTGTTCTTGCGGGTCTCACATCAGGCAATCGAAACCAAACGAAGTAAGAGAAATGTATTGACAAACATTGCGACTATCACAATTTAACCCGCGCCTTCTAGCCCGACATGATGCATTTTCACTTTCGACCATTACGGCTGGCTTAAGCATGCGCAGCTTTACTATTTGCAACTACGTAGTTTTTCATCTCAGAAAACCTCTGCGTTGGGATACGTGCGACTATTCACACTGGAGCCGCTATATAACCACGATCTCACCTTAAATACGTTACGGAGGCCATGTACTTTTTCGGAGGAAGTGAATCCAACTTGCGTAAGGTATTTCATGAACAGAGATGCTTTGCTAAACTACACTGCTTAACCCTTTATTCTAATCTGTGTTACAGAAACAGTAGAATAAGCACTAAAATGCAATAACGTTCGAGCACATTTCGAGCAAAAAAAGGGCGCGTTCAAATGTCGGAGGTACTGGACGCAGGCTGCCCGATGCCACGTCAGCGGCGATGAGCTGGGACGCTATTTAATGAATAGCAGAGCATTCTGCCAGCGCATATAAGGGCGCGTAACATCGGGTTTACTGTTAAAGTGGATGCTTTCGTGCGCAGCATGTTTATATTCCACTCTTTTGCAAATGCATAGTGGCTTAGACTTACACGAGACTACCAGTGATTGGCAGTTCTGTGTCCTATTGACAGACTAGTGCTGTGCATAAACATTGTTTTTCTTTTATCGACTTGCCACTAGAGGGCCATCAATGTAAACGATGCTCATTTTAGTGCCCTCTTTAACAGTATACGTGGTATGTACATGCTACTCTGTATAGAGTTAACTGGATTGATAACAGAAAGACTCTAAGATAAGGGCAGAAAGAAAGAAAGAAAGAAAGAAAGAAAGAAAGAAAGAAAGAAAGAAAGAAAGAAAGAAAGAAAGAAAAATAAAATATTACGATCGTGGTATGCGCACAAAATAATGTGGTAGAGATGAATTTATTCATGGCAAACGCCGGTAACTTATCTGCACAAAAGTAAAAGAGAGAATGCATTTTGTAATGGTTAACTGCATTTTTATTTGCTATGTTATTGCCAGAGTCAAAACTTTACTAAAATTAGGGACACTTGAACGGGGTTACGGAAACCTTGTTCTACGATGTGATTAACGGAAACCAAAAGAAAACGACACTTAGCACGTCTTGACCTGGCTAGAAATAATGTGGCTGTTTTGTTCTTCTTGTACATTTTCCACTTAATCAGCACATTGACTATGCAATGTTTCCTGTAAATTTTGAGCCATTATCTAAGTGTTACTCTATCTTACACATGTCGGCAAATATGAAGTACGAAGGCCAGTTCTCGCGATGGTCGGAATTGAGATTCTTGACGGCTGTTTTGCCTTAACACCAAATAAGGAATAATTAATAGTACTATCCAGGAAACCTTGGTGCACACATCTCAAAAGTGCGAATCTGCCGCAAGTATAATGTAATGCAGCGAGCTGCATATAATCAAATACGAAGGACTATAACAGCTGGACATATGTGCCGAAGTACGTAAGAATAAATTATTTCAAACTATAACTCAAAAAGTATATTATTCTTCAAAGTAGGCAAGATGGTTCCTGGAATATCTTCGACCTACGGTCGGGCTGGGATTTATCTTGGCGTATTGTTTCCAAAACAAATGCTTATTTATTTTCTATTATACTTTTCATCATCATCGTAATCTGATGTGCTTATGTTAGTTTTTATTGTCACGTGCAGGAGTCATTTCGTCTCTGTCCACCGTTTCCGTTAATAGGCCGGGAACTTGATGAGGAACTCGTCATTGGTAAGTGTGGCCCTGATGCGATAGCTTACGGCAGTGGCGCCGCCAGGGGGTGGCACACCAGGCACGTGCCGTCCTACACAAAAAAATGTTGTTTGCCATGGCATACAGAGCAGACAATGACAATATCAAGGGGTGCCTTGCCCTCCTGATATAAAAGAGCCCCCCTTCCAAGAAAAAAAATTCTCCCTCCACCCCTATCGTATGGTGCATAAACCACTCAGCATCTTTTGGAAGGGCATCATTGCAGATGCTGAAACCGACTGTATCAATCCGCTTTGGCAGATTGCGTTCATAAAAGTGACTATTTTGGGAGGAATTAACGCCCGAGTTCTTAGAATGTAGCTGTTGTACCAAGCGTAATCTTCCCAGTGTGGACAAAAAAATCCAGCCAGCTCCACTTCGCGAACACTGGAAAAACAGCGAAGCGTGTGCTCATCCTTCATCGGGTTATATCGTACTTCTATTTTTTTCAAGTTTTCCGGTTGTTGGCGCTTATCTTCGGCCTGTCTAGCACGGACGTCGTGGTTGGCTTGGCAACATACTCATTTCGCGTGCGGCTCTTGCTGACGCTCACGTCGGACGGCTTTGTCACCGGGAAAATGTGAAATCATCGCCATCTTGAGAGAGAAAGAGAGAGAGAGAGAGGAAAGACAGAGAGGTTAACCTAGCTTGGCTCAGTTGGCTACCCTACACTTAGGATGGGGGAAAGGGAAAATAATAAAAAGAGATAGAAAATAAAAGGAGTAAGAAAGAGAAGGATGAATAGTCAGCTCGAGACTACCCAGCATGGTGTCACACTGTTCTTTCACAAGCGGTCGTGAAGTCTGGTGGTCCTTAAGAAGTGCAAGAGGACTTTCGTGGCTTTGTGTGTATGAAATACCGTCGGCCAAGGTCCCAGGATCTTCTCTTCTGTAAGCGGCCATGAATCCAGCTGACAGAGCTTGGCTTCCATAATACGTCGTTCAAACTGGAATGCTGGGCAGTGGCACAGAATGTGCTCAAGCATCTCCTCGCAGGCGCATATGTTGCATGCCGAACTGCTCGACATTCCAAGGAGACGAGAATACGCATTCGTAAATGCCACGACCAACCTCATGCGACACAGCAAAGTTTCAGCGCATCGTGGGAGCCCGGATGGCAAACGAAGTTGCAAGTATGGGTCGATCGAGTACAGGCGCGCGTTGGAGAAAACCGGCTAATTTCATTGTAGGAGAGTTACACAGTGAGCAAGTGATTGTAGCCGCTTTGCAGCGTCTGTTATCAAGAGTGGTATGGGCGTACGCAGGTCTTGGTCATGAGCCGATCGAGCAGCTTCATCCGCGCGGTCATCTTGAAAGCGCAGACTACCCAACACTAACATGGACACGCTATATTGCACTCCATTGCCCCTCATCGTCACCCCATCTTGACACGTTTCTCGAAGGTTCACCCATCGACATCCTCCGCCTTCATCTTACCCTCTCACACAAGCCGTAGACCCTGGCGTGTCCATGCATCCATCATAGTTGTCGGTGGCTTCAACGTACACGTTTCTCTGCATCAGCATTCACTTCGCGGATCGGCTGCCATTTTTTTCTAAATAGTTCGTTATCTTTTTCGCAGCATTTACAAACTATAGACTGTATACCCCTACCGAAGATGGCACTCCCTGAAACGCTGCTACTGCAAACATGTCATATGTAGTGTCGTTATTTACCATGCTTATCATGAGCCACTTATCTGACTCACTGTGGGCCGGTCATAGCTGAGTCGGATAGAGGTGTTGCCTAAATGTTTCGCAGATGGTTACACTGTGCCGGCCGGGACGACGTGCATGATCAACATTCACAGCCTGCACAGGAATAAGGAGCAATTTCCCGACCCGGAGAGCTACATTCCAGAGCGCTTCCTGCCGGAGAACTGCAAGAACATGCACCCGTTTAGCTTCATTCCTTTCTCCAGTGGCGTCAGAGTTTGCCTGGGTAAGTTGAACGCCCATCATCATCATTAACCTGTCCTGTGACCCGTGCAGACGAAGGCCTCTTCCAATTATTTTCGATTCACCCTGTCATGCGCAGCCTGGTTTCGTTTTATGCCTCCT